TGAAAGCTTTAAATCTTTGTTCAATTTCCCACAGAAATGTCTCCAACTTCCTTTTTTTTCCTTTTTGACAATCCTTTGTGCCACTGCCTTACAATTTATTTATAATTTGTTAAGTCTTTACTATTCATTGTGTGTTTTTGCTTGCTTGTAAGCCTTATTTGTTTCCTTAATTGCTAATTTGCAAACTTCATTCCACCAGGGAACTGGATTTCTAAGTCAGGGGCAATTTGATGTTTTGTAGATGGCCAGATCAGCTTCTGTTGCAATTCCTTTTATTACGTTGTTGTAGAATTCTCCTAGGTTGTCACTTGTACAGTTACTACATAAATATTCATCACATTCAATCTTGAAAAGGCCCCAGTCAGCTTTTTGAAAATTCCATCTAGGAACTCTTTCTGTGTTTTCGACATTTCCTCAGCCTTGGTACTCAATAAGCATAGGGAAGTGATCACTTCCCATTCTGTCATCTTTATGAATTTCCAGTTGCATTTATTGGCTGTATTATTTGTTGCAATTAACAAATCCAAAACAGAAAAGGATCCATTCACTGAATTAAATCTAGTAGGTGCTCCTGTATTCAATATTACCAGGTTATGCAAACCACTAAATTGTTCTGCGCATTTAACATTTAGGTCAGTTTTCTTACGTCTCTATAGCTCATTATGACTAATAAACTCTGCAAATTATGATTGGGTTTTTGACATTATTAACTAGTTTTTCTAATTCTAAAAAAACTAATTTTTACATGGATTATAAACATTATAAATCTGTATATAAGAATTTTTGTTCTGCATGGGAATCTTTCTGCACATTCATTTCTATGTAACTGAGTCCCTCATTTGTAAATATACAGAACCCCCCCTTCAGTGGTAGCCTCTCGATCCCTCTGGAGATCAGATCCTTGTAAATTGACTCAAATTTACTTATTAGCCATGTTTCTTGCATACATACATATCAGGCTTTTTTCCCATTTCAGTGATGGCTTTCTTAAATTCCTGTCCCTGCATTATTAAACTATGCACATTCCAGCTAAGGATAGTTACGACCGTGTTATTTAAGCTGTATTATTCCTTCATGTAAAATCACATGAATGCAGTCTATCAAGAGGTTCAAGGTATCAAGAGGTTGTCTATTTTTAGATATTTTCCTGCTGTTTTAGCTATGATTTTAATCCTTTTATTTTTCCCCCCATCTGCATGCTGCTGTCAATTATTTCTGTAACGAACACAAAAACTTCTCTTTACCTACAAGTAATACATCATCTCCCATTCCTCTCATATTCTCCTCCCTGACCAGAGATATGTTCTGCTGCCCCCGTACATCTTGAATATTTTTCTATTTTCTGCAGTGGGTACCTTTTGATAGCCTCCATATATGATATTTTTTGAATTATTTTAATCTTTTGTATTTCTGTAGCTCATTCTGCTGCTGCATGTCATTTATATGTTGCACTGTGCTTTCCCCCCACAATTGCTGCATTTAGGTTCTGTTCCTTCTACACAGTTCTCATGTGAGTGATTTCCTCCACATTTACTGCACCTCATTGTTCCCTTACAAATGACTGCCACGTGTCCAAACCTTTGACAATTATAGCACTCACAGGAGGGTGGCAGAGCAGGGAATATATGGTTTAACCCAGAAAGAATTGATACCCTATTTGGATCCTATCCAGAAGTGTCCCACTTTTAAGTGATATGCCTACCACCATAGATGGCTAGTTTTCTCCCTCTCTTCTATAAGTAGCTGTTTAACAAACAATACTTTATCTTCATCTATATTCTTCTTACTATCATCCACAGAGAATCTTAATAGCACTCCATACATAGCCCCTCTGGCTTCTATCAGGAATAGAGGCAGCTCACAAGTAACTTCCATTTTCCCTAAGGCTATAGTTTTAAGAAGTTTTTCAGCTTGCTCCTCAGGTGTTCATTCTATCAATAGATCTGCACCATCACTTTACTTTAGCGATTCCACCATTTTCAGAGGGTTAATATTTCCTGTTTTCACATCTTCTGGCACTGATTCGACAGTTATGAAATGCTGACTTTTGTCCTGTTTTTGTTTTTCATTTCTATGCATTCCTTCTTCAAATCCTGATATAGCTGGTCTTCCCCCCACCCTCACTTTTTCCTGATCTGAGACCATTCCTCATCCCCTGCTGCTTCTCCTTCATGCTCCAAGACAACTTTCTCTTTTCCCCCTTGCATCCATTGTCAGTTTCAGTGTTCAGTCACCTTTCAGCTGGGGGGTCGGGGGGGAGGGGGGAACAGGACTTGCCACAGCCCTCCATCCAGTCTGCTCCTGCACCCCAGCCTCACTACCATCAGCCAGACACCACCAGCCAGCCCCTCTCCAAACCCAGGCCACAGCCAGCCAGCCCCTCACACTGTTCTTGTTTACCAGGCATGACCTTAATACAGTTGTTGAATTATTGCAGTTTAGGGTGCTATATTCCCCTGCTGGGAGTAGGAAAGGTGCTGCTGCTGCATTAGGCAAAGAGCTGGAGCTACTATTTACCCTGGCTTTTTCAGGGCCTCACAATGTTGGGGAAATGGTTCTTAAACTCTCACTTCAGTTCACCCAGCATAAGGATAAAGCAGAATCCGGCTTTAAATATGCAAGCTTTCAAGAATCAACCTTTTCCCATCAAGTCATGGAAAGAAAATGAGGTGGGGTAACAGACATAGAGTAGCAGTATGTTAATTCAAGGCTTCATGATTAAATTCAGAGATGCAGATAAGCAAAGAAAGATTGCGAAAACCTCAGTTATGAGTTGTAGTTTGTGTTCTTACTTGTTCTTTGTCAATTACAGTGACAAAAGGCTCTATCAAGCAAGCAAGAGGGAGGATAAAACAATGGGTAAATAAGTATACAGGACTCTGATCCCCTTCCTTTGAATTAGATATTATAAGAAGACTGGGATTTTTAAAAACAGAGAAAATGCAGCCAAGACATTTTCTATCTCACCATACACAATATAATAAGTACAAAAAAGATAGTCTGAAGAAGTACACCGCTACCTCGCTATAACGTGACCCGATATAACACGAATTCGGATATAACGTGGTAAAGCAGCGCTCGGGGGGTGGGGGGGGGGCTGCACACTCCGGTGGATCAAAGCAAGTTCAATATAATGCGGTTTCACCTATAACGCGGTAAGATGTTTTGGCTCCCAAGGACAGCGTTATATCGAGGTAGAGGTGTATCAGCAGTACAACAACCTAAAAAGCCAAGAAATCAATTTGTATTTGGGAGAAAAGAAAAAGACTACCACATATCATCAAGCTGTTTCTGCAATCTGCCACCAAACTGGAAATGGAATACAAAATGGAACTGTTGTGTAAAACCCATCTATCCCATGACCACTGTGAAATGTACCCATTACACAGAAACTTGATGTATGGACTTAGGGAACACATTCATATACATTGTCATGCCAATAAATATATTGAAATTGAAACAAATAGAGGGCAAGATCCTCAGTTGATGTAAATTGCTGTAGCTCCACTGAAGTAATCAAACTCAATGGATCTACGCTGATCTACACCAGCTGAGGATCTGTCCCGGAGGTTATTGCTAGTGTATTTAAAAAATCCTCAGTGAGTCTGATCATATGCACCAATGTAAACCAGGAAGAACTCCATTAAATCAGGAATAGCTCGAAGGAGTTATTTCATTGAACTCAGTTGAACTATTCCTGATTTATTCGTTGGAGTTATGCAGATATAAAACTGGTGAAAGTGAGAAGTGAATCAGGACCTCAGATAAGAGATTCTTTGCTTTTGTTTTCTGCTGGACTAACATAGGGCTCGATCCTGGTCTACTGAAATCAAAGGAAGTTTTGCCATTGACTTAGCTGGGAACAGGATTGTGCCAATAGTTACTACTTCTTTGTCTGAACCTAGCAGCACATACAGTTATTTCTGCCACTGTTGTTTGAACAGTCCATTTGCTAGCAAATTGATTGATATATATCTTTGGTAACAAGGCAAAAGGGCAGAGCAGTGTTGCTGGGTACACAAATTTCCCTCTGTCTTGGGCAGACTACAGATAGCTGTCATACTCTTTTTATCATCACATCCCACAAGCCAGAGGTATATCTTGATGGTGCCTGAGACAGAAATATGAGTGGGTTAGGATTGCCAGCCATTCAGGATTGTCCTGGAGTCTCCATGAATTAAAGATTATGTCATGTGATGAAATCTCCAGGAATTTGCCCAACCAAAGTTGGCAATCCTAAAGTGGGTTCACATTTGTTTGCTCCAAGTACTTTAATTGCCTGCTAGCATTTGTGGCAAAATAGATCTTGCAGTTTAGGGATGTGTTTATTGAGCTCCATGACCTCCTGGGAACCAGACCCTACTTATCTACAGTTTAAAGGAGTGGAGATTTCATGGCAGCTGCTGGAAGTGTGTCAGACATTTGGTTGCTCAGGTGGTGACGTTAGGCCTTGGAGCAAATGCAGAAGAAAGATATTTTCCACCTGAAGGGTGAAGAAAGAAGCAACGTTTTGCTTGGGGCTAATTTTTCTTTTATTGATGGCTATAGAGGCAGGATACCAGCCAAAAATTGCTTCTGTACAGTCTGGACAATTTGTGGGGATGGTCTAGAAAAGAGCTAAAAAGAAGCAAGCAGATGTTTTTATTTTTAAAGTCTTTTAATAAACATAACCTTCAAGATAGCTTAATGCCATTTAAAAAATTCAGATAGCTAATTATTTATTATTTAAGGCATGATTTAGTCTATTTATATCTTCTGCTTTGAAACACAGATTTGAAAGTGCCTTCATAGGTCGTACTTTATTAACAGTTTAAAAGAGTCCCACATCTATGTGGTCAGATTTGGTTCTCTGTCAGTCAGAATCTTCAACAGCAACTTGGGCCTCTTTTAATTAAGTCAACGTTTATGCTTCTCGATACTGCCACCAGTCAGATTGCTTCCATTTGTGTCATAGGTTCTAAAGTAGTGTCATAATTGTGTTTTTAAATTCCCAAGGGACCATGGCCAGAGTGGTGAGTGCAGAAGACTTCAGTGGATTACGCCCCTACTCTCATGGAATCATATTTACTGCAAGACCACAGTCTACACCAGGCAGAGCATCATCATGCAGAAGCAGGCAAAGCTCAATTAAATCAGCCTCATGTACGTACAGATTGTCGACTTTTAGGTTTTATAAGCATCAGGATTTTAAACTGAAATCCCCATATTGTCCACAAGACAAATGCAGCCTGAATCTGGCATTGCCTTCTCGGCCACCTCAGTTCTGTTATTCACTTAGGCCTAGATTGTGCCGTTTGACACAGTCCAGAGCAAGCTGCACTGCTCCAAGATGCACAGTGACTCAGAGGGTTGTCTGATGCACAGTATCTCCAGTGTTCCCCTCTTACACTCTTAGGGGAGTAATTTGCTACAGCCTTTTACAGGGTGCATCATACTCCCCCTGCCCATTCCCTACACTCACACAGCCACACACACGGGATGCATCTATCCAGCTGTACTGGCTGATGCGTAGGAGGGATGGAACCATGGCCCTTTCTTGTCCTATCCCCTCCCTACCCACTTTCTTGTAGGGAGGGAAAGGGGTATCAGAAGCATAGCTCCTGCTTTCTTCCCCATCCCAGCACCCAGAGTTGCAGTCCATGCAGGTTTATTGCAGTTGCACAGGCACTTGGGGGACAGGGTCTTTCTCCCCACTACTCTGGGCAACCATCTAGCCCTTGATCTTAAAGCTGCTGGGTATGTACTATTGACAATGTCAGAGATTTGATGTACATCCTGTTATCCCAAAGGAACTCACTTGAAATTATCATATGCTTACCCCTGAAAGAGTATATGCATATTTTATCCTAGTAAGATTTATGAGTCACTTTAATGAAATAAAAATTGTTAATATGGTTGTGAATATCTCATTTGCAAGAATTAAACATTGAGAGTTACTGGTGTTCAAGGCTTCCTGATTCACAGTTCATGCCTTTTTTCCTTCTTCCTTGCCATGAAGTTTTAGTTTAAGGGGTAAATTCACTCCTGGCATAAATTGACACAGCTCCATTGATTGCAGTGGCGTCACACTGTGAATTTGTATGCTCAACTTCCCTTTGTCAGAACTGATTACTGTTAATGATATGTGCAAGAAACCCCTTAATCTCTCTCCTGGGGAACTAATTAGATTTACTGTGACCAGAGTGCTGATTCAGCTGCTGGTTCTCAGCACTCTGTCACACCTTTCCCCCTTTTCTGGTGGAAAAATTTCTCCTTCCATGGGCTCTCCATTCTTTTAGTGGAGGTGCTACTCTCCTGGAGTCCTCCTCCTGATGTTTGGGTGAGGGGGATTCCAATAACTGCTCAACCCCTGTCAATAAGTTCGGGTTCTCCTTATTCCACAAGGCTAATTCTGTGTTTTCTTCTTTCTCCGCCTCTTCCTTTAGGAGGCCTCCTTTTTCTTTACTGTCCCCCTGGCTTGTGTTCCTTTGTCTAGTGTTTTCCAACCCCTCTAAGTCTAGCTTCTCCTTTTGCTTCCCTGAATGTTTTATTCCTTCTCCTCCCTAGTGGGAGGAGCTGCAGTCCGTGGCTCCTATGATGGGATGGGACAACGTGTCTACTACCCCAACCCGTTTCCATCTAAGCTTTCCCTGCACTTCCAGGGGTGCATCAGCCATAAGGCAAAGTGTCTTATCCCCATGGACGCATTCAAGCCACAGCCTTGATCCCGGGACCATCCAGTGGGCTTCACCAATTCCTGTTTTACCAGTGAACAGTCTGAGGCAGTGTCCACTGGACCCCTTTGACACCTTCTCCCCACCTTTACAGAAACCATAAATAATTTCTTTTTCCTTCCATGTCCAAGAGTCCCTGTCCAACTGCAGAACTCTGAAAACCCACATTCTATATAAGGCAAGTCTCTTTTTATGTGTCCTTGGTGTCCACACCGACAACAGACAATACCCCGAGTCCCAGCTGGAGTCCCCCTAGGTTCTTCCCTCTTCTCTGTGACCTTTCCAGATTGGGTTTCTCCAACCCTCCTCCCCAGATCTGGTCCCTTAAACTGCCAACCCTCTTTCCTAGGAACGTCCACCTCCACAAACTCTTCTGTGAGCTTGACCACGGAATCTAGGGTGACCAGCAGATGCCGCCTGACCCATAACCAGGAGTTCTCAGGGATGCTCTGCAGGAACTGTTTTAGAATTACTGCATCCATGATCTCACTTGCAATCTGAGTGTCTGGCCTCAACCAGCTGGTAGCCCAGTCTGTCAGTTTTTGGGCAAATGCCCGGGCTTGTAACCTCCCCCCAGTCCATCTAGTGACCCAAAACTTTTGCAGTGACCTTTTTTGTGGATAAGTCCACCTGATCTAGAATGACTGCCTTAATCACATCATAGTCCCATGCTCGCTCATTACTTAGGGCAGGTCTACACTTAAAACCCTGCATCGACACAGCTGCACTGATGCAGCTGGGCCACTGTAGTGTTTAAGTGAAAATGCTCCTACCCCCATGGGAGAGCTTCTCCCATCAGCATAGTTAATCCACCTCCCCAAGAGGCAGGGGCTATGTTGACAGGAGAAGCTCTCCCACCGACATAGAGCTGTCTACATGGGGGGTTAGGCTGGTATAACTATGTTGCTCAGGGGCGTGGATTTTTCACACCCCTGAGTGAAGTAGTTATACTGATACAGGTCTGTAGTGTAGACCTGGCTTTACAGCCATATAGGTTGCCTGGCTTTTCTCTCTCTCACTCTCTCTCTCTCATCTTCTCCCTTGTACGGCTTTCCTGTGCTTCTTTTCTACGCTTGCAGTTAATGGACAAATTCGTTCCTTAGCTCTTCCCCAGTCCAGGCTGATCTAGTAATTAGCCATCCCTTCCCTCAGTCAGGCCCTCGTCAGGGGAACTAATTGGATTTATAGTGACCAGAGTGCTAGTTCAGCTGCTGGTTCTCAGCCCTCTGTCACAGAGGAGATGTGTGGAGGAGAAACTGCAGTAAAGTGTAAATAATATAAAGGGCCATATTCTGCCATTGAAGGCAACTGAAATATTGTGTGCAAACTGATGGCAGGACTTTCCTCAAAAGTACGGAAAAATGTAAATGCACAACTAACTTCAATCTTTAGATTGGGGTGCTCAGCTCCTATTGTCTTCAAAGGAAGTATTATATTTGTATCAATGGCTGTATTTGGCCCTATAAATGCAGGAGAAATATCAGGCCAAATCCTGTGGTCCTTATTCAGTTCTTACTCAGTCAAAGCTCTAATTGAAGTCAAGGGGAATTTGCTTGAGTAGGGATTACACTATTTGTCACCATGCTGTCCAGTTCTCCAGCCCTCCTTTCCCATGGGTGTTTTTACAGCAAGCTGGCTGTTGCGTGTTAAAATACTTATCTGCAAAGGAGTCAGCACACAAACAATTGGTGCTGACACATCATTGGCAGATGACTTTACTAAGGCGTTTAATAACTGAATAAAGCATCTAAATGATACAAAGCAAAGACATTCAAGGCCTTTTTATCCCTGCTGTAGTCTGAAGGTAGAGTGCTAGTGGGGATGGGATGGACAAATATATTGTGAGTTACTTTACATATGTTTTACTTTGTAACTGTAACTGCTCTTTTAGAGTATCTTCCAAGTTAACCAGTGTCTTGGCCAGGGCCGGCTCTGGCTTTTTTGCCGCCCCAAGCCAAAAAAAAAAAAAAAAAAAAATCGGGGCGGCCAGAACGGCAAAGCAAAAAAACAAACAAACTGCAGCGCGGCTGGAGCGGCAAAGCAGGGAAAAAAAAAAAACCTGCGGGGCGGCCGGAGCCAGGGTGCAGGGGGACTCCCTGCGCTGCAGATGTGCCCTGGCTAGCGGGGCGGAGGGAGAGGGAGCGGGGGGAGAGAGAGTAGAGGGGTGGCCAGGGCTTCAGCGGGGCGCTCACCACGCAGCCCCGACTGCTGCGCTGCCTGCCGGGAGAGCTCCACGCCGCTCAGGTTGGCAGGGAGGGAAGGACGCGGGCTGCCCTGCCGGGCTTGCTACAGACCTGGCATCGGCTGGGGCAGACGGAGCGCACAGCCTGCTCCCAGCAGGGCGCTCCCCTCCTCCGCGCTGCTGCCCCCTACAGCAGCGAACAAAACAAAACAAACAAACAAAAAGCGGCCGTGCCACCCTAGGATTGGGCGGAATGCCGCCCCGTAGAATCTGCCGCCCCAAGCACGAGCTTGCTCGGCTGGTGCCTGTAGCCGGCCCTGGTCTTGGCTATAATGTTATAAAGAAAGAGTTGGGAATTTTTAAAATAATACTTAGCACTTTTATATTGCTTTTGATCTTCAAAGTGCCGCACCAATGTTAATTAATTTACAGTGATATCTCTGAAGATGGATTGATTTATGTTGAATTCTCAGCAAAAAAACCCACATTTGATTATGCCAGGTTTAAGAGTGTATGGTAACTGTCTGATATGTTTTACAGCTACATCTGTGCGCTCTGTCCCAGATTCCACACTGTCCTCCTCAGAAATTGAGCAGATTTTACTTAAAAAGACAGCTGAAAAAGAAGGTGAACTTAAAAAAGCATTTCAGACAATTGACATTGATCACACCCTAACAGTCACAAAAGGCGAATTCAGAAGAGTGATTGAAACCTTTCTTTTTCCTCTGACACAAGCACAGTTTGATTTTGTGCTGGCACAGGTACGCTATGTTATAAATGTGTATAATCACTTGGGGGCTGTTCTTATCCACGTCAATGGCAGAATTTCCTCTCGATTTCAGTGGGAGCAGGAGCAGATCTGGTTTTATCAAAATGATGATAGATGGGGCCAAATCCTTCTTGCCTTATGTGAGTAGTTCTAGTGAAGACAATAGAATTACTTATGCGAGTAAAATGAACTAGATTTGGCCATTCATATTTCTTTTAAAGGATTCCGTCTGCATTATTTCTCCCACTGTCTGAAGAAGTTACAATTCATTAGTAGCTTTTGTGATAATTAATCAAATTATGCAGTCTTATTCCTGGAGAAAGATCAGATTGAAAACCCTTTGAGTCATGGTAGAACACGTTCTTATTTATATTGTAAGGAGCTTAGCACACTTTTGAGCACTGTAAAATAATGAATAATTGGGAGGAAGGATAGTTGTCTGTTCACCACCTTTAAGCCATAGCTAGGGTGGAATATATTCTTTAAAGACCATTAGTTGTATACACTGGTTGAGATTTTCAAAACCCACCAGGGGATAGCTATACAACGCCCGTTAACTTCAAATGGAATTGTGTGGCTAACTCCTTTAGGCGACTTTGAAAATCTTAACTTCTTTGTCCATGGGGTCTGCTTTCTGGTATTAGCTCTGTAAAGTTCTCATTTTTTCAGTTTAGTAATTTAACTGTGGTACAACAACATTTAGAACCGTACAGTGAACTGCAAAGAGTTATACCACACACCTCCAAGCCATTGTTTCTAGTTGCTTTCAACATACTTACCCTTCTCCCCAACGGTTTATAATGCTAATGAGTAATAGAAGATGGATTTTTGGCCCTGTGGAGTTCCAGTCCTGACCCCTGTGGCCATGACTTTCTGTCCTAAGGTTTCACAGATTTTAGGTTTTATATCCTTTCCAACATGCTTGTTGTTTGATTTTCACTTATATTGAGTTGTTACAAGGTGTTATCTTCACATTTTAAAAATATTGGTCTCTGAAAATTCAGCACTGATTTCAGTTAAAATGTAAGTAATTAGGGTCCTTGATTATACCAAATAAGCAATATGTGGATCCACAAGCAATATGTGGATCAATATGTGGAAATACCTTACATATGCATGTGGTACACAGGGAAAGATTGTCTCACCGGTTGGATTAGATGGGATATATTTTCACACATAGACACAGAAGATCATAGAGTTAGTGTGAGGAAAAGACCTACATGATCCTCAAGTCCTTGTCCCTTATAAGTGTAGGATATAGCCTCTTGCTGGAGGATTTATCAGATATACATTGATACTATACTTGAGCCTAGACAAAAGGTGAGAAGAAATGACATGCAGTTCATGCAACAAACGAGAGGCTATCAGAGGAGATTATTTTTGCATTTTAATAAAGTAGTTAACCAATAATGGAAGTGAATGATTTTTTTTTAGTCCCATGAGATTTCATTACAGGATTTATCTAGAAATCCATTTATTTAACACTCTTTTTATTGAAACGTAGATTCCGATGACTAGCAAAGTTACTGTACCATATCTTGACTTCCTGGCAAAGTTCACTAGGGTTGCCAAAAGTGCCAACATGCAAAGAAGGTAAGAGCTTCTTATTATGTAATCCCATTGTTCCCAAACTGTGATCATGGATCACTTGCTAGCAGTCTGCAGAGAGCAGGCTGGTTAAATGGTTCTAGCTCTCTTTGTTTCCAGCTGTTACACCGTGTTACAAACAGCTCCAGGAACATTAAGTACTTTTCCAATATTGCTTTTCCATATAAACAATTGGTGTAGTTGCCATAGGGATCTTATGTGATCACTGAAGGGAGGGGAGGTAGTCTGTCAGACCATTGATCTTGTAATGTAAACATATAGAGCTTCAAGCCTAATTGGTATATTCTGTTAACTAGTAGTAAGTGTAACTGAGTATATGAGAAGTTAGATGTGAGCTGAGGTTAACATTTTTTAGGGATACTCAAAACATATAACTCAACTTGCAGGATGCAGTGTGTGACAAAGACACAATCTGAGGGACTCACAAACATTATTCTGGCAGGAAAGTTAAAATGCTGTGGGATTCATTCCTTCAATATAAATAACATTCTTCTTTGAGAGATGTCCTTGTGAGTACTCCACTCCAGGTGAAGGTGCATCCCTGCGCCTTTGTTCGGAGAGTTTTGCCAAAGTGCCCGTATGGGTTGCGTATGCGCAGTGCCTGCCTCATGTGCCATTGGCACCTCAATAGCGCGTGCATGACCCAGACTCCTCAGTTCCTTCTCTACTGTCCCCGGCCTGAGACGGAGCTCAGCAGTCCCGTTGAAAACCTTCGTTTTTCAATTAGACAGATTATATAAATTAGTAAATTAGGTTTTAGTTTTAGATTAGTTTAGTCAGATAAGTTTCAGTTGTTAGACTTACAGCCCCTGTAAAAAAGAAATTATTTTACATCCCGTAGTGCAGTTAGAAAATGCCTGGTTCACTGGGTTTTAAAAGATGCACAACGTGCAGAGAGGCGATGCCTATCTCAGATGGACACTCTCAATGTGTCCATTGCCTGGGGAATCCCACATTCCCCAGAAATGTGCCCATTGTAATAAACTGAAGGCTAGGGCACTAAAAGACAGGGACCTGAGGCTTAAACTCCTCCTCATGGAAAAGTCCCTCAGACCAGCCTCCAACCCTGGGCAGGAACCCTCTTCTTGGTAGAGGTCACCCGTCTTCTCAACGCCAAGATTCTCTAGGGACAAAAAAAACGGCAAAAAAGCAGCCAGCTTCCTCGCCTCATAGAGAGCATCATCACCTCAAAATGGTCACCAACCTAATCAGCTTCATCGGTGCCAACTGCTCCGTAGCTCAGCACCTATGATGCTCCAGGCACCTCCAGTGCTGTCCGTGCAGTGGCCGCCGCCAGTACCCACCGCTCCAGTGCCGAGACTAATGGCTTTAAGCTGCTTGTCTCCACCATGGCACCGTCAATAGTGCCAAAGGAGACGGTACTGACAACCGCTCCTATTCCTGTGCCGCAGACGAATGCGTGTAGCGTGACGGTGCTGACACAAGTTACTCGGGCACCTACTCATCTCACTGTGCCACCGGTGCAATCGGCACCCTGCCCCTCAGCACCGATGCTCTCGGCACAGTGCCTTTTCATGCATCAGAAAGATTTGTTGGTCTCACCAACTCCAGAATCTCCTCTATTGGGCACTGATGTCTCACCGGCGGCATCAGTACCGCATTGTCAGCTGTCTCCGATACCATCACAGTTTTCCAGTGACGAAGATGATGAGATTGAAGGGGCATTCTCCCCACACCATTCTTCCCCGATTAAGACACTTATTGCTGCCAGACTATTAAGATCATGGTCCTCATATTCTCACGATGTACCACCTTAGTATGGCCACCCATGGATGGGACCACTCAGGCCCTTCCCAGGTCATTGGCCATACTGGAGGCCCTGGAAGTCTAAGGGTATGTCTACACTACGAGAGTAGTTCGATTTTAGTTAAATCGAATATGTGCAATCGATATTAGAAAGTCGAACGTGTGTGTCCACACTAAGGACAGTAATTCGACTTTGTCAGTCCACACTACCAGGGAAAGCGTCGACATTGGAAGCAGTGCACTGTGGGCAGCTATCCCACAGTTCCCGCAGTCCCCGCTGCCCATTGGAATTCTGGGTCGAGCCCCCAATGCCTTCTGGGTAAAAAAATGTGGCGAGGGTGCTTTTGGGTAACTGTCGTCATCCGTCAGTCACTACCGCCCTCCCTCCCTCCCTGAAAGCGCCGGCGGGAAATCAGTTCGCGCACTTTTAGATCAGTGACAGCGCGGACGCCACAGCACTGCGATCATGGATCCCGCTGCGACCATCGCTGCAGTTGTGGCCGTTCTCAACGCCTCGCAGCTTATCATACACCTTTCCCTGAGGCAGATGCAGAGAAATCAGGCGAGGAGGCTACGGCACCGCTGTGAGGGCCTGAAGTCGGAGAGTAGCACAGAGCTGTCAGAAACCACGAGCCCCAGCGCCCAGGACATCACGGTGGCAATGGGGCATGTGGATTTTGTTGAACGGCGATTCTGGGCCCGGGAAACAAGCACGGACTGGTGGGACCGCATAGTGCTTCAGGTCTGGGATGAATCCCAGTGGCTGCGAAACTTTCGCATGCGGAAGGGGACTTTCCTGGAACTTTGTGACTTGCTGTCCCCTGCCCTGAAGCGCAAGGACACCCGCATGCGAGCAGCCCTGACTGTCCAGAAGCGAGTGGCCATAGCACTCTGGAAGCTTGCAACGCCGGACAGCTACCGGTCAGTCGCGAACCACTTTGGCGTGGGCAAATCTACCGTGGGGGTTGTTGTCCTGCAAGTAGCCAAGGCAATCGTCAAGGTACTGCTGTCAAAGGTAGTGACCCTGGGAAACGCGCAGGCCATCATAGATGGCTTCGCCGCGATGGGATTCCCAAACTGCGGTGGGGCTATAGATGGGACTCACATCCCTATCCTGGGACCGGGCCACCAGGCCAGCCAGTACATCAATAGAAAGGGCTACTTTTCAATGGTGCTGCAAGCACTGGTGGACCATCGGGGACGGTTTACAAACATCTACGTCGGATGGCCGGGCAAGGTTCATGACGCTCGCGTGTTCAGGAACTCTGGTCTGTTTAGACGGCTGCAGGAAGGTATTTACTTCCCGGACCACAAGATAACTGTTGGGGATGTGGAGATGCCTACAGTGATCCTCGGGGACCCAGCCTACCCGCTAATGCCCTGGCTCATGAAGCCCTATACTGGCGCCCTGGACACTGAAAAAGAACTCTTCAACTACCGGCTGAGCAAGTGCAGAATGGTGGTGGAGTGTGCTTTTGGCCGTCTCAAGGGGAGATGGAGAAGCTTACTCACTCGCTGTGATCTCAGCGAAACCAATATCCCCATCGTTATTGCCGCTTGCTGTGTGCTCCACAATCTGTGTGAGAGCAAGGGGGAGACCTTTATGGCGGGGTGGGAGGTTGAGGCAAATAGCCTGGCTGCTGATTACGCCCAGCCAGACAGCCGGGCGATTAGAAGAGCCCAGCGGGACGCGCTGTGCATCCGGGAGGCTTTGAAAGCCAGTTTCAAGGCTGAGCAGGGTACCCAGTGACTTTTAAGTTTGTGGACACAGAAGCAGAACTTGCCCCCGTTTCTTTACCCAGTTGCCGTCGACTATCCTCTCCAATCACATACCCCCTTCACCCCCTTCCCAAAAAATAAAATCTGTTCTGTTTTGTTAATGGACACCATTGTCTTTATTACTGTTTTCGCGGGAATGTTTTAAACCTGGGACGCAGACTGTGGCGGGGGGCGGGTTTAGTGTTGTGATGCAAATGATGCTTCTAAACTCCAGGAATGACAGGCTCCGCGGTGGTGGACTGGTTGTTTCAACGGAGCCTGCCAGCCCTCCTGGCCGGGACTGCGTGTATGTGTCGGCTATGTGACTGTCTTGCAGGGGGAGGAGGGTTACAGATCCCCTGCTGCGCGGCTCTGTGATCCAGGGTAAGGACCGCTGCATAAGATCTGTAACTGCCCTCCCCCGCCACCAAGTCACAGAGCAACACCACCCCCCCCACCACACAGAACATGAAAACCACCTCCCAGACTGACCAGGATAACTAGTCACTGCACTGTATATGTGCCCTGCTGCTGCACCTGCCCCCTGCTAAAGGTGACTGTCCTGTCCAATGACCAAGCCCCTTCCCCCCCCTTCAGACAGACTCCCCTCCAAAAGAAGAGGATGGAAACAGAAATGAACAGAAACGTATTCTTTATTAACAACCGCACATGGAACGGGGGGGTGAAACTTGGACGGGGTCTTGTGTGAGGCGGGTAGGAAAGGACTTTTCAAATTTTGGGGAATGAGAGCCTTCTAGTGGTAGAGCAGTCCGCAGGGGTGGAGTGAAATTTTTCACGGCCCCTTCCACCCCTCCGTGTTTGGACTTTGGGTGAGGGGGGTATGGGACTTGGTGGCGGGGCAGGGCAGTTACAGAGAGACTGCAGCGGGGCTCTCTCCTCCTGCCTCCGGTCCTGCAGAACATCCACAAGGCGGCGGAGCGTGTCCGTTTGCTCCCTCATTAGTCCAAGCAGCGTTTGAGTAGCCTGCCTGTCCTCCTGTCGCCACCTCTCCTCCCGTTCAATGTTTGCCCGGTGCATTTGGGACAAGTTCTCCCTCCACTGTGTCTGCTGGGCTGCCTGTGCTCGGGAGCATCCCATTAGTTCAGCAAACATGTCTTCCCGTGTCCTCTTCTTCCTCCTCCTAATGTGCGCTAGCCTCTGGGCAGATGTGGCTGTGGGAATTGGAAAAAGGGAGTGAATTCCTGAGACAGAGCAATGTATCTGTGAACAGAGAACATAGTCTTTCTCTGTGAACAAGACCATGCAGAGCACCTATCACACGCGCACTGAGGACAAGGTCGAATTTTCGGCCCTCGCCTACCGTGCCTGCGGTCTTGCTGTGGCGAGCTGAGGAGCAGAGCTGGACACCGGACTTTGTCTAGCTGGCAAACATGGTAAGCCGTAGACTTGTGGCCGCTTAAAACTTTAAGAGTGGCACTGGCCTCCTTTCACATAGAAAG